GGCGCTGACGACCCCTGCGCGCTCACGCTCACGCGCCTCTGCGGGGGAAGTCCGAGGCTGCGCTGTTAGCTGAAGCCGGGGGTGGGATGCAGGACGGGGTGGGCCGCAGACGCTTTCAATCATGAACTCGTATGGCCATGAAGAAGCAGTCATAAAACAACTCACTACAAATTTGATGATTGTGTCTGAGGCGAGGTCTGAGGGAAATCTAGGAAGCTCTGAGGGGAAAACGCCGAACACTTTTCCTTTTGCTGATTCACCAAGGTGATTTACGCGCCTAGGAATAGGAGAATGACATATTGATGTTGTCCTTTGTGTCTTTATATTTTGAAGAAGACATTCACTCACTTAGCTCCGGTAACACCGACCCTGTGTCACCCGTTAGCTTACAGTGATATTTGCCGTAGCTGAAGGCGGGGGCCCTAACTTTAGAGTGCTGTACTGTAAGGGTTCACTGTGTAGCTGATGGTGTGACTTTCGCTTAATATATACTGAATATAAGCCTTCAAACAGTACGCGGTCAGAGTGCACCCGCCACAGTACGCCAGAGTACCTGTGTGGGAGACAGAGACGGGGCGAGCGCGCGAGGGACAGAGACGCCGCCCGGCAGGCCGTTGGTATAAGAGGCCTTGCCGGCGACGCTTCGCGCCCAGTCAGTGCCGCCGCGTCCCGCCGCGTCCCCCGTGCCGCTGCGTCTGTTGCTGGCGCGTGCCCGCCGGTGTGAGCGTGTGCGTGTGCGTGTGTGTGTGTGTGAGTGTGAGCTCGGCAGGAGCATGGGGCCCCGGGGGCTCCTGGTGCTCGCGGCCCTGGCGCTGCTGCTGGCGGTGCCCCTCCCGGCGCAGGCCGCCGCGCACGCCGTGGACCGAGGTAAGCCAACCGAAAGGGAGGGAGATTTACTGTCCCGGCCGACTTGCGGTGGGTGTCGCTGTCACCCAAGTCTGACGGCCGGGCGGCGAACACGACTGTGATCTGACGGGGAGAGAGAGAGAAAATATTGTGTTGCCACCGAGGGGAGGAGGAGCAGGCTGTGGGGATGTACCGGAACCGAGGGCGCCACCGGCGGGGCGCGCGACATTTGGGATGGTGCGTCTGTCTGGCGACCGTCCAAGTGACCATGTGTCCCGCCCGGTCCCGCCCCGCTAGCGCCGCGACCCACCTCGCCCCGCCCCGCCCTATCCCGCCCCGCCGGGGGCGCACACCCCTCGCAGACCCCGTTAAACTTCCGTAAACAGGTCCCAAAGGGCCGAATGGCACCGTCGCGTCAGCCGCATATGCCGCATGCCAAGAAGCACGTGTGACGTGCCTCGCCATTTTACCAACAATTATTGCGAGCCTCGTGGGCGCCCGGGCGCCGAGGGGTGGATGGATAACTCCCCAAACAAATGTACACCCCTAATTCTGCCCAATTCAAACTAATTCAGAGCAATTCAATTTAATTCACCATAATTCAGAAGTAATTCAAACGGATTTAAAAACCAGCAACCCAAAAGTGCAGGAAAAATGGCGTGGATGGTCTTCCCTTTGGTTTGTATCTCATACTAAACATTTTACAACAAGGCGGTAAGGTGGTGGCGTTCGAATGTGAGTCCCCAATTCACCCTAATTCAGTAAAATAAAATCACAACAATTCAAACCAATTCAAAAACAATTCAAACAATTCAAATTCAATTCAAGCCAATTCAAGCCAATTCAAGCCAATTCAAGCCAATTCAAATCCAATTTTTGAAATTTGTACACCCAATTCAGGAGTTATCCACCCCCCGCCGGGCACCCCTTTTGAAATTTTTGCAACAATTCTTTAGACAAACGTTTCGAAATGAGAGAATTCCATACGAGACCTGCTGCTAGCTAGCAACGCGCGGGGTATCCTTCAAACATTGGTCGAAAACGCGCGAGGTGAGCGAAAGCATAAAGTTTGTCTTCCTTGACCTTGCCGTGGCGTAGGATAAATAAAGTGTTTGCGAAGTCAACAAACCGCCGCCGCCGGCGGTCAATCCGCACGAGCCCGGAGGGGTTGCCAAGGGAACGGCGCGCGCGCGAGTGTGTGTGCGTTCGCACTTAACACGCAAATTTGAGATCAAACATTTTTGCGGTCGCGACAACTGTGGCCCGCACGTGTGTGTGTGCTGCCGCAGTGTACAAAGCCACACTGGAAACAAAATTAACAACTAATGGTTTCTGTTCTAGAACTGAGCGAGTCGCTGGAGACGGTCCTCCAGGAGGACAAGGTGGTGGTGACCTGGACGCACCTCAAGCCGCGCAGCAGCCGCAAGAAGAACGCCCCCGAGACTCTCCTCTCTCTGGACTTCCCCGGCTCCGAGAACAAGTTCGTTCTCACCCTGGACAGGCACGAGAAGAAGGGTGAGTTTCATACTGGCATTGTGTGTTGTGGAATGTTCCATAATCTCAACTTTAGAAAAGTATGTGGGCAAAATTTGTCAAGTTGAAAAAAGTTTATACCGTCGGAAATTCACATTAATTGCGCGTTCTCAGGCTTCCCCTTTCACGATCAAAAATTTATTTGGTAAAGTTTGTCGAGCAGTTCACGACAGCAATTTTTAAAATCCAAATCGTAACCTTACAACATAAGGCGTAAGGCCTAAGGCGCCTTGGTCAGCAGCGATAAGCAAAGCCCCACACTGGAATTCAAGTCGCACACCTGCAGGTGTGTGAAAAAAGTCATTAGGTGAGCCACAAAAATATTTAAGTTTGAAAGTAAGGCAAGCAGGGGGGAAAATGATCTGCCTCACTCGTAGTTCGCACGAGCCCCGCGCCTCTGTGGCCCTGGTAGAGCGCCCGCCCAGAGCGTCGGAGGTCGACGGTTCGACTCCAGGCTCGGCAACATTTTTCGCATGCCGCTTCGCGTCAGTTTAAGGCCTTACGGACAACCTGAACTTCAAGAAGAATTATTGGAAAACGTCCCACCTCCGTTGGCTAGGTAGCTCTGGGTGGCAGGGTCGCTGTTACTGTCAAATTGACTCGGCACTCGGTGTTGTGGGTTCGAACCCCGCGTACCCCTGATGGTAAGGCCTCTGAATCTGGGTTTCAGTCTTGCTCACATTGCGAGACCCGCGTTAGTCCAACAACCAAGTCCTCTTCAATCCGTTTAAGTAGCTTTCATTAGCTGCGGGGGGGCTTGTGTAAAATACGGGTGAGGCAGACCTTTTTATCCCCCGCTCTTGCTTCATGCGATGCTTTACAAGTGTTGGTATGAATTTTTATACGCTCACCTACAAGTGTGTGAGTGTCTTGTCACACACCTACAAGCGTCTGAATTTTTTTACACACCTGCAAGTGTTCGACGTTCGAACACTTGGATGTCCATTGTGTACGACTTCACCTACAAAACTTTTCACAGTGTT